TTGAATGGTCTTAGGGAAGGGCTCATTCACCCATTATGCTAAAGAGACACATTCACATAAAAGTGCTCAAATGCCACGTAAAAGGAAAGAGCACGTTAAATTATGCCAAGTACTACAGTGTACATTCCCTATTAAATCCACCCACGTTACAAGGCTTCATTAAAAACAATCCTTGCCAAGTCTTACACTCCAGCATGGAACACTTTTTTTCCCCTCAGTACTCAAAAAACTTTAAATGAACCTCGTAAAAAGTGCCAGTATAATAAGAGCTATTTAAACTGGACGGAGGGTATCAAGCAGGACATCTGCAAAGAAAAGACAATAAAATCTGTAACAATTCCCTCTCTCAACAGCCTTCTCCCGGGCTCATAAGCTTTCTTCTTTGGTGGGGTTGCAGGGGAGGTGAGGCACATACAACCATTCAGCACAGCCAAGTGCAAAGACACACAGGGCCCTCTCCACACCAGGCAATTCTGTCTCCCACAGGCCCCTGGGAAGCCAAGCTTTACTAGAAACTGACTCCAAACTTGAAAGTGTCATCTGCAAGGGAAGGGGACCTCAGGACAAGAGCCAGCTTAGAGTCCCCTTTATCCCATCACAGACGTCTCGCAAGGCCCCCAGCTGAGTGTCTGGGCAGAGAATGTGGTAGACCCACTGCAACAAGTCCCCAGCGTGGGTACAGGTTTCCTTCTGCACACGTTTGGGTGAAGTCTTGTTCCCCCCCACCTGAGCTAGGTATCCCTCCAAGTCATCCGATACCACCAGGGCTCAAAGCAACTTGCTCTCTAAATGGTTGCCACAGGCAGAATAGCTTTCCATGCATTTCGAGTCACTAGGTATGCAGAAAGTACCCCTCTCTCTTCTACCTGTCTGTCTACACCATCAGGAAGGAGCCACATAGACTCAGAAAGACAAGACCTGGGGGTAGAGGTCACTACCTGAATCCTTGTGGAGCTACAGCTTTGGAGTACCACGAAAAGTCTTCCAGCAAAGACACACTTAAGCTCTGGCTGTTTAAATGTTGGACATCAAGGCTGTAATATTCACTTCTTTGTTTTTAAGTATACTTTATGGATGAAGATACTTGAAGGATTTTAGGTCTCTGGCGTATGACAGATAAAAGTCCAAATACATGCTATACTTATTTTACTCACTTTTTTTTTTTTTTCCCACAAACTACACATCTTTGACATCCCAAGGGATGACCTCATTTAGTATCTGAAAGTTCAAAGATGGCATTTGTAGTGGGGAATTTAGCTTCCAATTATACAGCATTATGCAACATTATGAACTATTTTAAAACTTTACTAAAAGGGTAAAACAGGCCATGAACTCTATCTGAGGCCCGATCTTATGAGGCTCTCAAAGGCTCTTTTACAGATCATTTAGAAAGATTAAAGAAACACACTCTGCCCAGGAGAGCCCTTGCTCAGTCAATTGAAGGTCCCATTAAACATGAAAGAGACCCTTATTTTCTGCTCACCAACTATGGATTTCCATCTCTCCACAAACTGTATCACTGGTTATTTTACTTTTAAGTTGCTTTCATATTTATCATCTCATTTTATCTGTGAATGTGCCAAGAGCCATATATAAAGATGGAAATAAGAGCCCCATTGTTGCTCTGGGCATGGGTGATAGTCAAGATCTTACCTCCCCCAAATGTCAAGTGTATAAAATCAAATAGCCAGGAAGTTGGGTAAAGGAGCAGAGAATGGAATAGAATAGCCATGCAGGTGGGACTGGGGTCCAGAGATAAGGGCCTGGGAGGAATGCAAGAAATGAAGAACAAGGAGTGAGGATAACAACAGAGGGTGGGGCTGTGGCTCAGTGGTAGAGGGCTTGCCTGGCATGAGTCGCTGGGTTTGATTCTCAGCACCACATTTAAAAAATAAATAAAATGAAGTTATTAAAAATCAATAACAACAACAACAACATATTTCTAGTTAACTTTTCAGAAAGCATTTAAGGGGTTCATTTCTGAACCCTAACTGGCAAGGGAAAGAAAAGAATCTGTATGTTTTGGATTATTTTAATATGTTATCTCTGCATGTGACCAACATCCAGGAATCCTACTGCTCAACTGAGGGTAGAAGGACAACCTCTCAGAAATAAGCTACTCTGATATTTGGGACCATGTGGAATACTGTCTTATGTGAGTGTGTTTTGAATCAATTCATGTATCAATGATCTTTCACAAAAATGTTACTGTTCACAAATCCTGAAAATGAAATCGAATCCCAAGTCATGGAGATTATGCATCTATATGGCATATACATAAATAAAATGTACAGTCTATGGGGAAAATTGATTGAATTTGAAATGAGTATTGATTGATATTGTTAAATGAGATTCAATAAAGCCAAGTATGCAAACTCAGAAAATGTGTTATTGGATAAAGGAAGATAAATCACTGGTTATCTCTATAAATTATTATACTAGTTTTTTTTTTTTTCCTGCCAGCAACAATTCTTGCTTAGGAAGAGCCAACTAAGGAAAATTTGTCTTTTAGGTATGGTAAGAACTTATCATGGCTGTTATTAACAGGTTGCTCTTTATAGGGAAAATATTCAAAATCCTCTCTTCAGCTTCTTGAGATACGCAGCCTATCATCACCTGGTTAGATTTGGAAGTTTTCTAGGTAGAATGGGCAAGTGACCCACAGCACTCTGGCGATTTCCAGAACAAAGGGGAGCTTAGTTCTTCCAACCTGGGTGCCCCTTTTCAGCAGGACTTATCTTCACCAACCCTGCCCCTCCCAATACCCCTTCTGCCTTTGCCTCTGAATGTCCCACCTCTGAATTTCAGTGGAGTCATTAGAAATAATCCAATTTTATTCAAGATAATAAAATCAGAGCTGCCCATTAAAACTTTTTTTTCCTAATTCAATTTCTGTTATGAACTGGCTTACCTGATTATTTTTGGCAAATATTTAATGTGAAACATAGTATAAATGTTGATTACTCTTAAGCAGCAGATTCATACAGGGCTGGTGTTGATTATATTCTATTTATTAATTGCCTGCCATGTGCCAGGCACTGTTGTACATGCTTTTACTATTATTTAATAGAATTCAAAGAACCCTGTGCAGGTACCGTCTTACAGTTGAGGTGTGGCACAGATTTGGAGTCTGAAACAGGGGTCAGCAGACTATGGCCCTTCGATTAAGTTGGGCTCTAGAGATTTGTTCATATTTCTAGGACTATTCATTTACAGTGACTATCACTGTTTTTGAGCCCCCA